AAATTCAAATAATGACTAGACAAAATTAAATTAAAGATATCTTGAATTGTAATTTTGACTAGTCAAAATTCCTTTTAAGATATCTCTAATTGAATATAGATATCTTGAATTACACAGCTTTTCTATTTAAGATATCTTAAATTGACATTCCAACTAGTCAGAAAGACATTATTGATATCTTGAATTAGTATTCTGTCTAGTCAAACTTATGTAGCAATTTGAAAGTTTAATAAAACAATGAAAAATAGAGAAAACAACAAAAGATGTTTGAAAATGCACCATTTTCATGTTGAAAATGGTTTGACAATAGCAATTTTAGCTTTTCAAAACAGTTTTTAAGTACATTTGGTTCGTCAAAAATGAATAAACAGGAAATTCTTTGCAGATATCAGAAGGAGTCTTATAGTTTATTAAGTTTTACTATGTCCGCATTTCCAACATTGTCGAGCTCTTTCTAATTTGTGACATTTACTGACAATTTTGTGCAGGAAACATAAAATTCTGCAGGCAACTGTTTGGACACCACAAAGGGGCTTCCACGTCATTCTTAATTCAGATATCTAAAATTGTAATTTTGACTAGTCATAATTGTGTTGAAGATATCTTAAATCTTAATTACGGATCTGTGTCCGTCAAATGACAGATCCAGTAACGTCATTTGAGATATCTTGAAAGGAATTTTGACTAGTCAAAATGTAATTGAAGATATCTTGAATTATTATTCTTACTAGTCAGAATCTAAATACAGATATCTTAAATTATCATTCCGAATTGTCAAAATGTAGTTTTGTCTAGTCAAAATGCATTTTTAGATATCTGGAATGTAATTATGGGTAGACAGACGAAACCGAATTTATGTTAAAATGGCTTGGACCCCCCAGACGAACCGACGCTGCCCTCACGGTTGCCCAGAGACGGACACTACGCAGCCATGGTGAGCTGCTATTAACCCGCGTCTTTTTAAAACCTTAGAAGAAAAAACACTTTCAAAAATACAGATGTGAGTGAAAAGACTCGCATTACAAGTTGAACAATGTCAGCTAGGATGGATAGTGTGTACATCGATCGACAAAAAAAAAAGTGTCTGTTGTGGCGCAGTGTGCTGCTGTATGATAGACAGAATGGATCGGGAAGGGAACTGCAGACCCGTTAGAACCTAACGAATCAGAAATCAGTCTCCATCCCTCACTCATCTCCTGAGGTTGATATTACTATTACTCTGGTGGCAGATTACTAGATGTAACCTGGTTGTATTTCTCTTTTGTTATAATTACCATATTTTCCACACTATAAGGCGCACCTAAAAACCTTCAATTTCCTCAAAAGCCGACAGTGCGCCTTATAATCCGGTGCGCCTTATATCTGGACCAATATTGAGCCACAACAGGTCTAGCATCTACGGTAAGCAGCCGCCGACTTCATTTTTGCCCGTAGAAGAAGAAGCGCTCGGTGCATGCTGGGATAGTTGTTAGAACGCTGGTTTGTAATCTATCAATAAAGTTTGACTGACCTATCTAGCGTCTAGAATCAGGTCGTCTGCAGGTCATTTAGCACCACGTTTTCCACAAACATGCTGTGCGGAACAGAGAAGGGTGACCATCGTCTGGCCACGCCCCGGCCCAGTCCGGAAGGCTCTCCTCGCTGACCGGAGTCGGACTGTTTTGTTCCTTTTAGTGCAGCTCCATCTAGTGAATGCATAACGTAACTCCAGCCTCTACTGTAGCGTCTATTCTATGCGCCTTATAATGGGGTGCCCTTAGAGTGTGGAAAATACGGTACACAAAATGTCTTTTTTGGGGGGGTATTTGTAATGTTTCTTACCTGACTGAAACAACTGTCATTGTTTTAACCTGTTACTTTAAGATCGGAAGCCCCTCCTTTTTATTTCTTCTTCTGTGGTATTGTCTTTAAATTGTTTATGCCCCTTAGACCCTCCCCTTTTGTCATGTTCTGCGGGAGAGGTTCTGTTTATTTTTCATCTAAATACATCCAGTTTATTTATAGATTTATTAAGTTAATTTTTGTTATGTGTTTTTATGTAGTACTTGGAGCGGGCAGCCTATAACACAGTTGTTTTCTATATGATGTTCTTGTCAGAATAAACCGAGAATCATCCTTTTAAAGACAAACTGTGTCACGGCCTGATCAATCAATAAAACCAGCATAACGCAGAAAGGATTCAGTTACATATATAATGAGAAGGTACAGAGGCTTCTCCAGCTCCCAGAATTAAGCCTTATTTTAATTCACAGCTAAAGTACAGCTCCGCCTAACTGAATGATGTCTATTGAAGACAGTTCGGTTGTTAAACGCACTTGGTAGACAGCGGCTCTTGAGGACAACGGACTGGCATAGCAGAGTACGAGGACCAACGGTCAAACAGAAACATTGTGTCCAAAAACAGAAGAGGGGGAAGCGGGCGGGAGCGTTGGCCCAGCTGAAACCTAGGAAGCACCGATTCCAACTCTCTTTCTGGCCAGTGTCGGCTCACCGGATTACAAAGTTGATTTCTTTTTATGTTTTCAGCAAAAATTGTCTTTGGTCAAACAAACCTTTACAACAACCAGTGACTGGTTATTTAAAATCAGCCACAAAGTTCTGATTAGTGCATCTCTACTTCTAACCAAATTAAGTCAGCCAATGCACGCACAATAAAGATTTATTTCAAATGACTTATGAATGAATTGACAGCTATGCTAAATATATTAGTACTTTCACAGTGTAATATAACCCTCTAAGATGAATTATTGCATAAAATCTAAACTACAACAAAACATTTATAGGACATTGAAATTCCAAAGTTCTTTATTAGAAGAGTCCAAAATTCATCAAATCTGACATAACTTTGCATGAAGCTGATGTATCTAGATTGGATACATTTGGTATTGGCTGGACAAACCTTTACAAACACACATCAAATGTAAGTCATTATGAATTTCTTGTTTGAAGCACATAAAGTCCGAAGTATGTAAGTTACAACATTATATTTTTACTGCATTAAGTCAAATATGTATAGCAATAAAATATGAAAGAATTTAACAAAAATAACTTTCTTTACAAGAACAGAACTAATTCTTGAAGATTTGAAGCTCCATATGGTTTTGTATCTAGCTTATGAAGCCTTGGTCTGAGCAGGGGGGTTTTGCAAGGACTCTCCTCTAATAAAGTCCCACTACTACAGCTGCTGCTGCTCCCAGATGGTTCCTCTGCCTCCGCTGCAGCGTCACTCATCAGCGAACAACATCTCTCCTGCTCCAAAGGAGCAGGAATCTGCAGAGATCCTCATCTCCTCTGTCATCTGTCTCCCCAGATCCTGGATCAGCTGCCTGTGGCCCTGTGAGTCTGAACTCTCAACGCCTGCTTTCCTGTTTACTGATGGGGAGAGCGCAATGGAGGATAAGACGGGGATGGGAGAGGAGGGGGAGGAGCTGGGCTCCGAGGGGCTGTCTTTACATGTTTCTCCACCTCCCTGCTTGGAGTCAGAGCAGCCCTGTTCTTCAGCTTCAGACTCTTCGCTCTCGCTGGATGAATCACTGCTGCTGCTCTCTGTAGAAGCTTGTTCTTCTTCCTCCACCACGATCCTCGCCGCACTCTCAAGTTCATCAAGCTCCAGCTCCAAATCTTTCTTCTGAAGCAAGGTGTGTTGCAGCATACTGGCCAACTCCAACATCTTCTTGGAACTGAGATTACCAAGAAAAAGAAAGAATTTTTAAAAGCAGAGTTTCTGCATTGACAACTCAGATTGAGAAGAGAAAGAGACATCAAACTACAAACTGATCGATATTGCCGCCTCTCTCAGAAAGAGGCATGGCGGTTGACTTATCGACCGGCTTGGCGTACTAAAGACAGCCACAGGATAACCATCTACAAATCTAATACCCATTAAGCAAATCCCATTCTCGTATGAATACTAAGTAGCCTGTGATTTGCAGAAGCGGTGGGGGCTCAATTAAATATGGAAATATGAATGTTTTATAATGTAAGAAGATGAGCTCTGCTGATGCAAGGAGGCTCGGGACCTTTTGTTCCCCAAACCGCTGCTTTCCTGGCGAGAGGTGATAAGAGACTGCATGGGATTACACAGAGGCAGATCAACCCCGCCCCCCAATTCATCCTGCTCTGAAAAACACGTACACACATGTACCTCTAAGTACGGGGAGATTAAAGCAGATGTTCGGGGCTGTGAACAGAAAGAGACAGAACCAATCAGACTGGATTTGTGGAGACTGGCTTTTCAGACCTCTGCTAGGAATCTTGGTTTCACTTTTGATAGCTCTTTAAAGCTAGATAAACAAGTTAGCGCTGTCATCAAATCAAGTTTTTATCACCTGCGGATTTTAGCAAAAGTTAAATCTTGTTTTTGTTTTAAGGACTTTGAAGGACTTATCCAAACCTTCATTATAACTCATTTGGATTATTGCAATTCATTATAAAGAGGCATGAATAAATCACAGATGCAGTGACTTCAAATGATACAGAATGCAGCGGCACAGCTTCTTACAGGAACCAGGAAGCGTGACCATATAAGGCCTTCACTGGCTGCCCGTCTTTTATCGAATAGATTTTCAGACTCTTTTATTAACTTATAAAGTCTTAAATGGGTTAGGCCCCCCATATCTTCGGGACCTTTTAAACTTTCAGTCTGTGTCCAGAACCCTAGGATCAAACAATCAGCTATTACTGACAGTTCCTCGAACTCGAGTTAAGAGGAAAGGAGATCTGGCTTTTTCTGTAGTGGCTCCTATTCTATGTAACAATTTACCTTTCCAGATTAGATCTGCCAACAGCCTGGATCATTTTAAATTGCTTCTGAAAACAAATTTTTATTCTTTGATATTTATTTGAAGAAGTGTTTTGATACTCTGTTTTTATCAGTTTGTGCTATTGTCATTCCTGTACAGCACTTTGGTGCAGTTTTACACCTGTTTTTAAAGTGCTATATAAATAAATTTGACATTGACATTGAGGCTGGTGGAATCGCTTCATACCTTACATTGCAAGATGCAATTCCCATATTTCAAAGTTTGGCATTTGAGACCGTATTCACACAACTTGGACTGTTTAACATTGTTCTCATGCTACAATCATAAGTGTTGGTGTATTTTATTTGTATGTTTGTGTGACAGAGCAAAATCGCACCTCCCAAAAGAAACCAGACTTTTTAGGCAAACGAACTACAGACCAATTAAAGCAGACCACACAGAGCTGGTGTAAATGAACCCTAATCAATCAAAGAAGAGCTTGTTGCATTGTGCTTTCTGAGAATGCAGCTGGGATTGAGGAACAGAGGAGATGTGGCTTAGAACTCACTGGTTGCATATGCATGAGATACAGTGGATATAAAAAGTCTACACACCCCAGTTCAAATACCAGGGTTTTGTGATATAAAAAAATGACAGCAAGACAAACATTTCCCCAACTTTTTCCACCTTTAATGTGACCTATAACCTGTTCAATGCAATTGAAAAACAAACAGAAATCTTTCAGGGAGGTGAAGTAAAAATAAACAACTGAGAAAATTTGGTTGCATAAGTGTGCACACCCTTTTAGAACTGGGGGTGTGGCTGTGTTCAAATTTAACCAATTATATTCAAACTCATGTTAAATTGGAGTCAGCACACACCTGTCACCGATTAAAGTGCCTCTGATAAAGTTCAGCTGTTCTAGTAGGCTTGTCCTGACATTTTTGTAGCTACATCATCCAGCACAAGCCATGGTCCACAAAGAGCTGCCACAGCATCAGAGGGATGTCATTATTCAAAGATATCAGTCAGGTGAAGGCTACAAAAGAATTCCCAGTTCATTAAATATACCATGGAACACTGTGAAGACTGTCATCATCAAGTGGAGAAAACATAGCACAATAGTGGCATTACCAAGGACAGGACGTCCGTCCAAAATTGATGAGTAGACAAGAAGAAAACTGGTCAGGGAGGCTGCCTAGAGGCAGACAGCAACACTGCAAGGATTTCTCACAAGTACTGGCTGTGCATTACATGTGACAACTATCCCCTGTCTTCTTCATATGTCTGGGCTTGGGGTAGGGTGGCAAGACGGAAGCCTTATCTTACAAAGAAAAACATCAAAGCCCAGCTTAATTTTGCAAAAACACATCTGAAATCTCAAAACACGTGGGAAAATGTGTTATGGTCTGATGAAACCAAGGTTGAACTTTTTGGACATAATTCCAGAAGACATTTTTGACGCAAAAACAACACTGCTCATCACTAAAAGAACACCATACATACAGCGGAGCATGGTGGTGACAGCATCATGCTTTGGAGCTGATTTTCTTCAGCTGGAACTGGGGCCTTAGTCAGGGTGGACGGAATTATGAACAGTTCCCGTTCTGGCGAAGTGCCAGGAGTGGCGTTTCAGACCATAGGCTAAATTCAGAACTGTGCAAAAGTCTTCTACATACTGTGAAGGACAGCCGGTAAGCCTCACAATGCTGTTGCTCACTTCCTGAATCTTATTGGAGCAGCACATGGACTCTGAATGTTGTATCCAGGGGTGCTGCCAGGAATCTTGGGCCCCCTGACAAAAAATTTAATTGGGCTCCCCCTCACACAGCTGCTGTTACAATTTCTTGAGTCTAACTTGACCCATCAAAAGCGTCACAATTTCAAAAGCTTGCAACTGGCTTGCTTTCTTTGGTCCACATACATGAAGCAATCCAGACTTCTCAAAAAATGCTAAGTAGTTGCATTTTATTCAAAGTGCAGTTATGTAACTTTAATAAAAAAATATGTTTTCTGCATATTTGTTAAAGCTGTCACGATGTCGTAGCAGTTTGTTATGAGACAGATAATTAGTGAAAACAATCAATCTCCTCCACCTCCTTCCTGAACCACTATTGCTAGCTAAAGTAATGCAATGTTCTGGCCAATTCAACCAATCAGAACCNGGAGGATGCTCTTAGCGCTGTCAATCAACTTCATTCATTCACTGAATGTTCAGGGCACATTTGTTCAGGGCAAATGTGCTAATGGAGGAGAAACAACTTATTGTTACAGGAAAATCGTTTATCTGCCATTACTGGTAGCTATGCTTACTAGACTAAGCATTTACAACATGCTATGCTAGCTACAGAATAGCACAGAGCGAGGGGGAGGAAGGATGAGCCATATGAGATTGTGATTGACAGCACTAAAACTCTCCTGCCACTGACTTATTTCTAGAGAGGACTGGGAGAAAGCAGAGGAAATAGATTTTTCACAGATTACCTCTCATACCATACTGTCACAACATAATGACAGTTTTAACAAATATGTGGAAAAAATATATTTTTATAAAAGCTACATACAGCAGCTTTAATTTCACTTAGGAGAGAACGGGTCAGGAGGGACGTGGGTTATAACTGCTGCTGACTGACTCATCAATTATTAAGTGGTAAAAGGTACAAGTTAAATATATGAATATGTTGGTAATTTTTTTTTCCTTAATTCATTAAATGCTAGTGAAATGGAGGCAAACAGTAGTCTGAAGCTACGCTAACTAATCTCACACAGTCTACCCACCTCT